ACAAAAAAAGTTAAAACAAAAACTAAAATCAGGTTTATAAAAAAATGGATGACTTCATCTTTGCTGAATTCAATTAACGAAAAAAATAAACTTTACAAATTATCTCTAAAATCTCCACAAAATGAAGAATTGAAAAAAAAGTTTAAAAATTCACCAAAATCAAGATTGAAATATCAACTAAACAAGCAAAAAAATATTATTTTACTGAACAAATTGAAAAAAATGAAAACTCATCTAAAGCTTCGTGGAAAAACTGCAAATTGTCTATGTGGAAAAGGTAAAACTAAAACAAACATAGAGGCTATTGAAAATGCAGATGGCACTAAATAACGAATGAAAGAGATATTGAGGACAGATTCAATGACTATTATAGCAACATAGGACAGAAACTTGCTAAAACAATCTCAGAGGTTCCCAATGATACTATCAGAATCGAGTTTTTTGATCAGACCATGTATTTACATCCAGCAAACGAGAAAGAAATAGTTTCCAAAAACCCCCTAGTATTCTTAGTGAATAAATGTTTTGATATGGGGCGTTTTCCTAGAATTCTTGAAAGCGGAATAATAAAACCCCTACACAAAGGTGGAAATAAATCATCTGTCGCTAATTACAGCCCCATTACACTAATCTCTAAGTTATCGAAAATAATTGAAAAAATCATCAAGAAAATATTATACTCTTCATCAACACTCATTTTTTGTTTTTTGCAACGTTAATTCACCCGCAGATAGCACTAAGTAAGTATTTCTAACTTTTTTGGTTTCAAAAGAGTTTTTCCTCGAGGTAACCGCATGAGTAAAAAAATAAAGGATATGATCAGATTCCATTTTTTACGAGCTTTTCAATGAGCCCATACACGACACAGGTTTGCATTCGAGAAAAAAGTTGGGGAGGGTTGCAGCTAAGGGGTTGAAAAAAGAAATTTCATTTTATTGCCAAAAATGCGTACAACGTGAAATCAACTGACGTGTTTCAGCGTTTTTTCCTTAAATACTGGTTAAAAAGATATTAATTTTATTCCGGACTTGCGCACCCCTGTATATCAGAAATACGCGACGCACTGTGACTGCTCATCGTTTTGAGGTTAAACTCAGTACACCTCTTACTTTACTGTTCAAGAAGTCTTTCATTTGGAGAAGTGCGTTTCGGCGGAGTAAATTTCCCGAGGACGTTTTTCCAAATGGATTTAATCTCCAGCGATTCAAATCTAATTTAAATGACTGCTTCCGCACAGACACCGCTTGTGTTTTGTCCTTGAAAAAAATAATCTTGGATGAATTTCCCTGAGAAAAGGTCAATACCTACAAGATATCTCAATGTTTCTCTGGCCTATGAGAAAAATATACATCGTCATTAACATATACTCTATGAAAGTCATCTTCACCATGAATAATTCATTAACGATTTCATAAGCAGTCTCTGAGATATGTAAATTGAACGTAGGTAGACAAAATGTACGTATATTTGTCTCATGCTATGTAAGCACCTCAGAAGTATGTGGGTCATTTTAATTCATCGCAAGATGTCCTCTGATTCTGAACACGACTTTCATCTGAATATTACTGAATTTGCATTTCACCATGCAACGCAAAATATTTATGGAAATCAACCTCCTCGCTGGGTCAGATAATCAGTTCCACGACATGACAGGGTTAAATTGAAACGAATTGAATTGAGGCTGAATAATTAAGATTCCTGCAGGATAATACGAGTTCAGTAATGAAATGGAATATGAAGAGATACGAACTGACTTCGTGTTTTCCGTTGAAAAAATCTCATCAACTGAAATTTTGCACAAATAGCAAATCTTACCACATTTATTACATTGTCAAACTATAGTATGGCCAATATAATTTTTTTCCATGACGTATTGGTGATACAAATGAATTTGGAAACAAGTGATTTTTCCGACATTTCGATTTTCATCAAGTTCATCCGCAGAAATCCACGAAAATTATTTCTTATATCGTAATATTTGATTGATGGTAAAATGAAAAGTGTGAAATTTCACCTCTTCCATATAATTTACCGTGTAGCCACCCTGTGGATAATATTTTGATTCGATTCCATGAATTATCTCACCACCTAGGACAATCCCGCTGATCTAGCAGTACCACCACCCTGTTCCAGATGCTGACAAGACAGTTCTCACAGGAGCGCACATCTTCGCATCCAGAATCAGTCAGATTTTATTCCTCAAAGCAACAACACGTATAATTTAATATATTTTGTATTTCTATAATTTTTCTTTTTCAAGTTTGTAACAATAAAAGTATTTTTAAAAGCAAGTTTAGTGCCGTCGATAGTTAATTCATGACGAAACTTTGGACTATAAAATTAATAAAGAAAATATTTTTGTACAACTGTCATTAAAAGTGATATTTTTAATGATTGTCATGTATTTTTAAAGATGATGTTTACAAAGTAGCATGTTGAGAATATTTTCAACACTATTGTCAGAAGTATCTTCAACATGTTTTTTTAATCAAATAGCAATAATCAATACATAATTATTCAATTTTCAAGGAAGTTTCATCATGAACAGTAGATATAGATACAATTAAATTCTGTAACAAATGTATTATATACATTAACTACATTATTATTATTATTTATGAACATTAATATGGAAAGTTCAATTAGAACAACTGCTGATATTATTACCTCGCGATGTTGAAGAGCCTTATAACATATTTGAACTATTGGAGTTGACAAGTTCATGGGCATTAACATTTAATTCTTGAAGAATAGATTGATCGATGTAACCTCGGCTATTGTTGTAGACTTCCGTCTTCAGTGCCTCTCAATATTCGTTGTATTTGCTCCTGATTCTGTTAGCAAAAAAGCAGAAGACCCTCTGAAACAGTGACCTGTATATTCCTTTGGTTCCGGGAGGTTCAGAAACTCAGCAGTGGTGAAGGGCATTTTTCCAAACGTGTTTATAACAACTGGGTTGACACTGCATTTATAATTTGAGTATTTTAGAAAAAAACGTTGATGATTGATAACATAAAGGCGTAATGCAATGTTTTTATTAAAATAGTCAATGCTTTTTTCAACAATGCAAAAAGAACGACCTATTTTGGTTTTTTCATTTTGAATTGGAACAAGCAATGATTCATCCATGAATTCAATGTCTTCTATAATTGAATGGCACAGCTATTCACGTCGGCATTCTCGATATATTACGAAAATAGTAGCAACTATCATCATCAAATATATTTCATCTGATGCCTCATTTATTAATCTCTGGACTTGTTCAAACGTAAGGATTGTTTATTTTTTCGGTCCATATCTTTCATTTTTCCGCTTTAAAAATGCTATTAACGAGAGCACTCGACTTCATCATTGAAAACTCCACAAAGTTGACGAGTTCCATATTTTTTATTTCTCTTCTAGATAGGCTAAGAAGACGGTTTTGCCGAAATTTCCTTAGACGTTTTTAAGACTACACCAGCTAAGAAAATTAGAATAGGCGATGTACTGCTGAGCCGATTTTTTTGGTAACAATCCAATTGAAGCTCTTTTTGCAGCTTCTTCAATAACGTCAGGAACACACAATTCCTCACTAGTGTTCTTCATTATGCAAGATATTAAACACAAGCAAGAACTTCAAATGTGACTTTAATTAAAACGTGTGAGCTGTAAAAATACTGTTTGTTGGTAACCAGGCGATTCGGCGTCACCTAACACGGCCACTTCACAGCAAATGAGATAACATTAAAATATCCAAACGATAAAAAATGTAGAAATGTGTTTTTATAGAAATATTAAATTTATCTTTTTCATCATAAAAAATTGACAGTTGTACAGAAAACTTTGTATGATATTTGTGTCAAAAGTAAGTTTTACTATGTTCGTGAAATTGCTCAACTCGCTACGCTAGTTTCGCAAACTTTTCCACTCACAAAATAAAACCTCACTATTAACACTCATAATATCATAAATAGCTGTTTTTGTATAGTTCAATTTTCATATAAAAGTAGTTGTTTCTAAAGTATTTTTCTTTCATGTAATTTATTGTTTATATGAAAGTAGTTGTTTCGGGAATGTTTTTCCAGTTCATGTCTGAAAATTACTTCGTTGCACGATCTAACATACTTGTAACGAGTAATTTTTTTAATTGATTACTCCTCTTTGGAAGAATCCCACATTTTTTATATGAAGATGAAGAAGTAGAAAGCCAAACTCTTTTTTTCAAAATCCTATCTTTCCTAAAAATATCCTTCTTTAAATTCAAGTTAAAATATGTGTTTTTGATGATACATAAATAACTCACAGGACTGTGTTATTTTCATATTGAGAGTAATAAAATACTTGTGATGCACTGTTTGGAACCTTTGGTGTAGTAATGAATATTAGTGGACTTCTATCCCAACTCCAAACCGTTATTGTGTTTCAATCACCAAGTGATCATCTTCAAGTGGAAGATTGAAAGTTCAATCTGTTGGGATAGGACTCGATTAAAAAAACATCCTAGCAATAGCCCAAACAAATTTCCACATGAATGCGCATGAGCAACGGGAACAGTTCTCAACAGTTCAGCCTCGAGAACAAGAACGATTCGGGACGGTTCGAAACAGTTTAGGATCATTTCGCACTCGAAACCAGAACAGAGGATTCATTAGTCCGAAATTATCCTCAATAAACCAGAACGCTCTATATCAACTGCGCATGATCCTGACGTTCTAGAACCCGATTTTGTAGAACAAGAACAAACCTTATATTCAGTAATAAAATATATACATAATCACAACACATATAGAACAGATGTAAGTGAAAGGACAATTTATATTTATGAAGACAAAACAAGTACTGTACAAAATAATCGAAAAATATTTCAAAAACATATATTCTGAGTTTTTCAAAATTACATGAGAATATGGAAAAATATTGAAATATGAGATATTGAATCCTTCGATACGAGTCTATCACAGATTTACAAGCAATGCGAAACAAACTAAATTCAAAAGTACACAATTCATTTCCTCTTTCAGAAAATGCCACCAGAGAATGCTCATGGAACGGAACGTGGTCAAAGTCGAATTATTCATCGTGCAAAGAGATTATTGCATTATCTGCGGACGTCGAAACACAGACCACAATCTATTTCGTTGGATACACATTGAGCCTAATTACACTGGTAATAGCAATGGCAATTTTCACGTACTTCAAGTGAGTAATTTTAATTTCATTTTGAAGCTAATAACAGGGAGTGACGTTGTGGATGTGTGCAAATCTTCCTGTGAGAAGTTTAATTCAGAATAATCAGATGAGAACCGCACACGATTTTTGATGGTTATTTGTTGCCACTTTTTTGCGAAAAATATGTATTTTTTATTTTATCACGCTTTTATTAGCTTCATCTGTATGTATGCATATTCGTTTGTTTGTTTGTAAGTCCAAAATTATCGATATTATTCTTGATCTATTTGCGGTCAGACGGCGCTGTACGTAAACTCCTTGATATAATTCGAACTCACTTTACATGTATTTTTTCGTTTGAAAAAAGTATATTTTGATTATTATTTTATCATCACGTTTTTATTAGCTTCACCTGTATGTATGTTTGTTTGTTTGTAACTCTCCTTTTCATTTCATATTTATACCCGTTTGAAAGCCACGGATCTGTATTTGTCAGAATCATCAACATTATTGCTTGATCTATCCGCTAACAGATGGCGCTGCACGTAAACTCCTTGATATAATTCGAACTCAATTTATCTGTATTTCTTCATTTGAAATAAGTTTTTTTTTTCATTAACACGCCCTGCTGCATTATTTGTAGCCCCCCTTTGCGCGCCAGCTGCCTTAGGCTGCCTTGGGCTTGGTAGCTAATTTTCAGGCTATCTGTCCGGAATCGGAAAATATCAATGATCATTTTTCTAAACAATATACAGTTGATTGATCCCAATGTATAAATAAAATAAATATAGGTCAAAAAGACTATAAAACACGCTTTTATAGCATACGAAACTAAAAAATGAATATATTCTAAAAAAACACTTTCAAAAAACATCGAACTGAAACGTTGAAAATATTTTTTTTAATGAGCTTAAAACAATAACGAACGACAAATACTAGTATTATTGTGAAAAAAGCGTAGGCGCTTTGTGCCATATTATTTGTATATTAAGCGCCCGTCGCTTTTTCCACAATAATACTAGTATTTTTCGATCGTTATTGTTTTAAGGACATTTTTTGAAAAAACTCATTTTTAGCTACTTGTTCGATGTACTTTAACAGCATGTGTTTTTAGTTTTTTCAAACTATATTTATTGTGTTACTCTCATTTGGAAGCAGCCAAACTCATTTTTAGCTTCTTGTTCGATGTACTTTAACAGCATGTGTTTTTAGTTTTTTCAAACTATATTTATTGTGTTACTCTCATTTGGAAGCAGCCAAAAGAAAATTGTGAATCTGATCTGGGCAGATTGTACAGTAAAACTATTTGAAAGAGGCCAACAGGACATTCCTTTTTGTCCTGCACCCAATGGCACTAATGATGATTTTATGGTCATCTCTACTATGATGAAAATAAAGTAAACGCTATTTGACAGTTACTCAAAGAGAAAATCAACTTCTATTTGTTATTTTCTGATCTTGTCTTGCATAAACTTTTATGGCGTTTCGCGTATATTTTTTCTCAAATCATTTTCCTTTCTATTTTCTATATTTTCAAACTTCAACAATTTTTTCAACCGAAACTAAGCTTACCAGAATGAACTTCAACTGATTTTATGAAACATATTAATTTATTCAAGAAACACTTCATCGTAAGATTTTAGTAGCTGAGATAAAATTTATTTCAATAAAATGTCATTTTATAGATTATAGAGGTTATAATATGATAATTTCGTGGATTACATCTCCATCAGCGTTAAATTCCTTTCCAAAGAGCATTTTGTTGAGATCTGAGAACAGAAAAAAGTCGCTGGAGAATACGGTTGATGCGGAAGCAATTCGTAGCCCAATTCATGCAATTTGACGATTGGTGCCATTGATTTTCAACATGATGCATTATCTTAATGAAACTGCACTTTTTTCCGCGTTTTCGTTTTCCTTTTTCAACATAAATAATATTTATTTATTTATTTATTTATTTGTTCATTGATTCATTCATTTATACACTATTCTACAGGTTACACCCAACTACAGAACTAGGATATAAGTCAAATCACAATACAATACAATTACAAAAAGTTATAAGATAAAAACAATTCATATATAATTAGCTGAAGTAAAAGGACCTAATCTCAGAGATGGAACAGTGAAAAATGTGGAGCAGAATTGCATTTGACACACGTGTTATGCAGAGGTGAACGTTTCACAATGTTTGTACTTGGTGTTGGCAGATAAAAAGCAGTATCCACTCTAGAGGTTTAGATATATTGAAATTCAGTTTTTGCAGAATATGTGGGTCAAATTAAATTATTAATCAGTTTTAAAAGAAAATTTTTGGAGTGACAATCACGACGGCAATTCAAGCTATTTATAGCATGTCTAGCTAACAATGCATCATGGGGAAATCCAATTAGTGGATAGATATTATCTGATCTATAGGAGAGAAGTTTTAGGAAACGATGTTGTACTGATTCAACTCTCTCTGAATACAACTGATGAGATGGATTCCAGATTATGAATGCATATTCTAATTTTGAGCTGACGAAAGCATAGTATAAGGTTTTCGATGTAGATGAATCCGGGAAATCTCTGGAGATTCGTGCAATAAATCCATACATTCTGTTTGCAGCAGACAGAATGGCTTCAATGTGTGGTACAAAAGAAAGTTTTGTGTCGAAGGTAACACCTAGATCGGTGAATGTGAGAGGCCGTTGAAGTGGAATATCGTTTATTAAATACTGATCTGAAAATGGACGATTTTTTAGTGTGAACGTCATATCCCTGATACTGATAACTTAACTTTGCAAGCTGAATGTTGTGACTGTACACGCTTTGGAGTAGATTCATCACGTGCATCACGTGGTGTAAAGTGATGGAGCCATGTTTCATTCATTGTCACATATCGACGCATGAATTCTGGTTTTTATGATGGAACAGCTTTAAACACTGCTTATCAATTCGTTCTTGTTGTTGGTCGATTGTGAGGTCGCACGGCACCCACTTTGAATAGAGCTTTCGCATATCCAAATATTCATGCAAGATATGTCATACACGTTCCGTTGATATATTTATAGCCTCAGCTATCTCAATCGACTTCACTTCGCGTCCACTGCGTCCATAGTCCTTGGTGCTCATTTCATCTAGTTTATTCCTAGCAAACCACGTCTGAATGGTTGATTTTTCTGATATAAAGTCCCAGTAAAGTTCATCAAGCCAAGCTTTGTCTTCAACAGTTTTTTTCGCCAAAAAGAAATAACTTTATCCACAGCAGAAGTTTCTTTTCATTCATTTTCTTCAAACTAACGGTTGCTTCTTTTAAAATATTTTACCCCACAAAGTAATTTCTGTTGAAGAATAGGGTTCACTGAATCATATGGATTCAATACTAGTAGCGCTAGTAGCACATCTGTGTGTTAGTCTACCAACTTTTCAGCCCATATTATATTTTATAAAATGTTTCTGATATTTCATATCCTGAAATGTGACCGTAGATGGATAATACCACTGAAGATTCCTTGTCAAATTCATCACTCTGTTGAAAGCAATGTATTCGTAAAATATTGATTCTTGGGGAAAATCGGTATAGCTTCCCACTTGTTATGCTTCATGAGATTCAGAGACTTTCGATAACAAATTTCCTAGCTCTCGTATCGGCAAATTATTTTGCTAACAGGTTCAACATAAAATATTTATATAGCCTGCCATAAAGTAAACTTGGACCTACTTCAATGATGATGAGAGCCCGTTCCTAATCCAAGCACTTCTGTGCTGTACATTTTAATGAGAATTATTAATAGCTGAGTTGGTTAACTTCGACATGAAATGAAAATGAAAGAGCTCTATCGTATCTCTGCTGATTGATTCATGAGTTGCTCTATTTCAAGCACAGTTGAGAGATACATTTCATTGGAAAAAATATGAACTCTCCCATTTTTTTAGTCAATCGTCAAACTGAAGTGGTTCTTCATTAGTCACAGAACAGTCATGAAAAACTGATATATTCCAAATTCTCTACTCAAAATAGATACACGAGATTATAGATTGTAGAGTAAATCAAAATCAATAACTTGAAAAACTTCATATTCATAACGATTCAAATGAACTGCTCTGTGTTTATACTTTTGAATGAAACATATTATGGAAAAACAAGCAGGAGAATGTCAATTAGATCTTATCTGTACTAATTGAGTAATGGACAACTTTTTTTGAACTTGATTATATATTATTATTTTGTGATGAAACAGTCTATTTTTAATTTCAGGGAACTTCGTTGTTTACGAAATACGATTCACATGAACTTGATGTGGTCCTATGTGCTGACATACTGTATGTGGATTTTAACTTTAATATCCGTAAGTTTTTCACAATATGATAGATCGATAAACAGATATAGAATTAGTAACTGCATAATTTATAAATTTGTTCTATTTGTGGCGTTGCATTCAATAGCTGGGTTATTACAATGAAAACGCTTTGTTTGTTAAGCTGTCGGTATATTTGACACGTTTGTCAGGACACCTGCAATAATGAGATCATTTATTTTGTAAAAATAGGAATATAGAGCACTCATTAACGTGTGAATAAAATATAAAATGGCTCGAAACACGGATAAAAAAAAACATAAAATACCGAGAATTATCAAAATTTGACTGACAATGTCAAGTGTGAGAATTCTGTTTTTTCTTCGAAGAAAAAACTTCTAGAAAGTTCATTCTACATACACAGAGTTCTCCAAATGGACAAGTTCTTGAACAGTGAAGTTCGAGGTGTACTGAATTGAACCTCAAAACGATGAGCCGTCATAGTCTGTCGCGCGTTTTCAATATTTACCGCTCTTGGTGGAGTCAAATGTGCCAAATCACTTGAAAGTATCTATGAAAGAGAGACTCATCTCCAACCTTTCTTCGATATTCCAGACTATCAAGGCTGCAAGTGATGTTTGAGCCTCCAATCAGACAGATGGCTCTTTTCTGGATGGAATCCAGCAGCTTCAGGGTATGCTTAGGAGCGGAGCTACATACATGAGAACAATACTCCAAAGAAGGTCTGTGCTTTATGAAGCTTCAACATTTGCTGAGGTGTGTACAGTTTTCTGCTTCGGAACAGTATTCCAAGCTTTTGAAAATCAGCTTTCGCAATCACAGCGACATGATTGTTGTCCATTTTGACCCCCCAACAAACTTATCGAAGCAGGAAGCGGAATTGTTTGTCCTGACATTTTCATATCCTGTTCGAAAATATTCATCTTTTTGGTGAACACCGATGCATGGGTTTTCATGGTTCTGAACTGAACCCGTTTACTTTCAAACCAATTTGATATCACCTCTAGATCATTATTAAGATATGCAACCTCCTGCTGCCAGTGAAGATATGCATCCGCAGTCGATTTCCTGAACTCCAAGTACAATTACAAAGCAACATGTTGGATTTTCAGTTTTTTCCAAGTCATAGCATCGAAGTTTGGCCAATAAACCCTTATAACACACATGGTCAAAGGCCTTAGAAATATCAAGCCCAACAGCTCTTGATTCTCCCTGTTTCTCGATTGCATTATTCCAAGTATGGGTTACATATGATATGTAGCCTATACATATCTGTATCTGTAGAGTAGGGAGGGTGAGTATAAACCCACAGCACCCATATAGTATAAACATAGTATACTATAAACACATGAGTATAAACCATTATGTGACCCATTGTACATCCTCCCGACGAGTTGTCCTCCTAGGTCATTGTCCATCCTGTCCTTTCCAGGAAGGTGAACAGGTCACTGGGAGACATCTCTTTTATACTGGCAGGTGTAGACCAAGACTCGCCGATCAAATACATACTATTTTTGGCAACTTTGTGGTGTCTCACGGTGGCCTCCGCGAAGGTTTTGGAAGGTGCAGCGACATTACTGTCGTTGCGCGACTTTTCAACTTCTTTGGGGTTCCCTCCGTGAAGGTGCACAAGTGAGGGAGCTTTCCTGCAGGGGCAGCCGGTTTCTTGCCTTGAGAAGGCGGAGCTCTTGGCACCCTCCTGAGAAAGTGCCCTTGCTGTTGGAGGTGGAGTAGGGGGAGGATGAGGGTGCACTTATAGTTGCAGCCACTCCTGCCTCTTTCGCTCTTTCTCGTTTTGGTCTCGTCGCCACGAATGCGCTTACGACTTGGCCTTTGTATTACATCACGACGTGATCTGCTATGTCCAGCCTCATTCCAAGCGGTAGATTGGGGTGGACATTTCCGTTCATCACTAGCCTACGTCTTAGATTGAGGTGAGCACTTCTGTCCAACCTTGGGATTGGTTTTTCTTTTTGTTGTTTCTGTTTTTGTGTTTGTTTCATTCATGTGTGTTCCCACGAGTTGCAAGGGAAGAGTTGGTCACCTTTGGCAGAGCCCTGCATTACTAAAGGTAGGCTGATTACAATGAGGTTTCTCCCAGTTCCCCAAGGGGATCGTTTGTAACCACATATCACCCTGCAGCCATTCCACCCTGCAGCCATTCATCTCTCGGCACGATTCTTCACACCTTAGCTTGGGTAGGCTGGTACATGGTGGCATGTTTTGCAAAGGCTGTAGAGGAGTTTCAGTTGGAAATGCGCCCGATAGGTAGCCTAACCCATGGGTTATACGTATGAAAAGTATGGGTTACATACGATAGAAGGTCGCCTGTTGATCTTTTTTTCCAAATGCCAATGCCATATTGATGATCGCTGAAAATATAAAAGCCTTCCGAATATTCGAGGATAAGATGGTTTACATATCACTGTTAGCAAAGCAACTGGTCTATAATTATTCGAAAGATTTTTTTTTGCCCAAGTTGAAAAGTCTGGATAATACTGGTGCACTTTTCGAGTACGATGACGGGTACTTCATCAGAACCAGAAGCCTTGTTGATGTTTCAAAATTCGCCTGACTAGACGTTGTCGAATAGTAATTTTCGGCATTGTGGATTCTAGTGTGGGAATAGTGGGTGGTGTCTTTCCCAGAACATCGACTCTGGAGTGGGATGCCAATTGTTCAACTGGTATAGATTTGCTTTTTCTATGGCTGTTGTTGCAATAAAACCATCCGCTTGTGTTAGTGGTGGAATCGTGAATTACTGCTAGTTTTTCCATTCTCGTAATTATATTTTAGTAGGTATATCGAGAATCGTTGCAAAATCCAGTCGTGATCCCGAAATGGGCTAGAACAAGCTTTAATAATCCGACAGGTGAACTTTATCTCAAAATATCAGTTGATACATTCAATTAGTGGAATGAATTTCCACAAAGTGGTTTTGAAATCTTCTTGTTATATGAGCCAAAAAGCATTCATTATCAATATATGTCTTTATATATTATGTCAATGTATGTTTCAGCTCAATTTTGGAAGTAATGTTTCCATCACTTGCGTGCTCATAGTGACACTCCTCCATTATTTTCATATCACCACGTTCTTCTGGATGTTTGTCGAGGGTGAGTACATTTAACTTTCTGATGTTATGTTTCTGTAGATGTTATAATTTTTGTGTATCTTCTCATTCGAAACCATTAATTGAAAATTCGACTTTAATATGAAAATTACAAAAAAATTCAAATTTTCAAATTTGGGTCAGTATTCTGTATGAGGAGCCGATTTCAAAGGAACTCTTTCAAATAAGTCATTTCGGTATCTCCAACGCGAAGTAAAATATCGAGAATATTCCTTTTCGCGGAATCGCAGTAGGCTCGGTTTAGAGCAGTCACTCGGGCTGAGTATTGCAAAAACTGGGGCACATGAAGGCCTATGCCTGTACCAAAAATTGAATCTGAATAAAATACAGGGGTGTCTTCATCTTAAGTGTATCACACTGTAACTGCAAAATTTTGAATTTGATTGGAAAAGTTCAACATGTTGTCTAATCTATTTTATCCCAAATCGGGAATCCTCCTCACACAATCTATCAGGTCTTATATAATTCTATCGGGTCTACCGAATCGTTTTTCCAGTGTATTGATAATTTTGTCGACTTCTTGATTAAAACTAAACGAGGCGTTAACATATTCTCTAGCTTTACCTTCAGTCATTTTTGAAGTCGCGAAATATTTTCGGCATTGGAAAATCCATAATTTTTTTTTGTACCTTTGAACTGATGAACGAAATCAATTCACTCTCCAGACTGTCCAGAAAATATCGAAAGTTCCTTGCTGAACAACTATCTGGCCATGAATTTGTTGAGTTTCTGGTCTTCCGTCATATCTTCGTGAGAGAGACTGTGGAGTTGCATTTTCTCCGTGTTATCATTTGTTAATGCCACCTAATTTTCAATGAATGATGATTCAAAAACTATTAAAGTTATTTTTCATCAAATGTCGCCATACCAACTTCATTTCAGCAAAGCTCATATCATGACAATGATAAATAGTGGTGTGTTATAAAAAATGCATGCATAGAGTTCGGAGAAGTAATTAATTCCATTAGATGGAAACATCCAATATGAACACAAATCAAAATTCAATTATGAGTGCCAAACAAACAATCATCCATTCAATACTTATGTTTCATTCAATTCGACGCACATGGTTTTCCAGTAACACTGGTTTATCTTGTTAATGATATACACTTTCAATGAACTCTGAAAACTGAAAGGTAACTAACTACATGGAAATAAGTCTGACTCTGAACTCGAAATTTTGCCCTGAAAACTATTGATGCTGATGCAAAAACTTGGGTTTGGAAGTCTTGACGTCAAATCGACACCTCAAGAGCATCGTCTTGCAGATATAAGGAAGAAAGCGAGCAAATTAGATAATTTTGATAATTATATTAGACAAGCGGAAAAATTAACAATCAACAATGTGGAAGAATGACTTCACTAATTCGTAAAAAATTATTATGGCCTGAATCGGAAAGGAATTTATGCTAATGAATAGACTGAAGAGTAAAATGTTAATGATACAAGAACAATGAAAATAAAGGATACGGTGGTGAGAAAATTGAAAAAACAATTGGAAAAGAAAGTTTTTATCAAAGCAATCTCTTCCGCAACGTTTCAACTGTTAGCTTCCATATTCTATTTTCATACTTTTATATTTCATACTCATTGTCCATTTCTTATCATTAACACAGTGCAGAACAAATATTCGCAATGAAAAATGGTATTGATCCGGTTGGTCGATATTAGTATTAAAAATGCCTGGGTCATAAGTAGAGAAACTGGAAGTACAGTCCTACTTACAAAGATTTCAATCACCCAAGAAGTTCCTGAATCTATTTATATGTGAACATTCTAACAGCTGAGTTTCAAACTGTCCTCCTTATCGTGATTGAACTCATGTTCTTCTGCTAACATATGGTTCGGAAATGTTTAGATGTTTGATTCAAGAGACTATTTCTATGTCCTTCAACTCTTTGGGAAGAAGTTGCTGTCTGTGGCTTGTTTTCGTCGTTTTTAGAAAGAATGTAGTCGATATCATTTATAATAATGACATAGTTCTACATATTTTGTGATGTAGTCTTTGTAATGATTTATTTCCGAGTACTTATTAATTTCTTGTTTCTAAATCTTTGAACAAATTATAATCATGACCTGAATAATTTTCATTTCTTATACAATTCCATTTCATTCTTCAGAAGTTCAATTGTTTTTTGAAACATAAATATTGGAAACAGGTAAAACAAATCAAAAATTTTAAATGTTTTGAATGCGTGTTCAATCTACTATCTGCTATCTACTTTGGGATGATGATAGAATGATATTGAAGTGGTTGAAACATTCATAGGTTGCAATTCAGGAAAGACAGTTGCCGATTATGAAGAACTCATTTGTGACTGCGAATTTGTAATCAATGCGGACACTAACTTATCACTTACACTTATCAGTTCAAAATCATATCAATACTGATCTCATATCAATAACTCGTCTAGCACCTGTTCAGTTGAAACTCAATTATAAGTGTTATCTAATATAATTCGTCAGAAGAAATCAGAAGGAATATGTATCAAAACATCAATATTAAAATAAGTAATAACACGTTATCGATAGTTGAATAACACGTTATCGATAGTTGAATCTACGAAAAGTGTATTCACTTCAACAGTCAGAATAAATTATATAATGAACCTGTTACTTAAAAATCATTTACTGTTTTATATACATATTTTGTATTTCAATAAGAATGCTTTTGTGATATATTACTATTGAATTGTACAACTTACAAAATAAATAATATATACTGAAAGGAAATAAAGACGAATTATTATTATTATTCTTGTATGGCAGAACACGTGTTGCGTTTTTGTTAAATTGTTTGGTGAAAATCTCACATTTGAGTGGTTCTTGATTTTATTATATCAGTTATGATACCCTTGAGTATCGGCAACAAAATAGTTGAAACCGATCGAATGATTTTAATTTCTTTTTTAATTTTCCACATTCTTACTATCTTGAAACTGGTTTTCCTTTGAATAAAAAGTGTTTCAAATTTGTTGCTCACCAGGAGTATACTCAAATACACCTTGAGTACCTGCAAGAAAATAGTTGAAACCGATCGGCCGATTTCAATTTTTTTTTTCATTTTCCACGTTCTTGCTATCTTGAAACTGGTTTTCCTCAGAAGAAAAAGTGTTTCAAATTTGTTGCTTAGCAAGAGTATACTCAAATACAACTTGAGTATCAGCCACAAAATAGTTGAAACCGATAGGCCGATTTTAATTTTTTTTTCATTTTCCTCGTTCTTGTCATCTTGAAACTGGTTTTCCTGTGAAAGAAAAGTGTTTTAAATTTGTTGAATACAGAGTATTCTGAATTTGTTGCTCACCAGCAGCATACTCAAATACACTTCGAATATCAGCAACAAAATGGTTGAAACCGATTGGCCGATTTTTCAATTTTTTTTCACTTTCAAAAGTGTTTTAAATTTGTTGCTCATCAGGAGGGTACTCAAATACATTCCGAGACTCAGCAACAAAATAGTTTGCCTTGATCGGCTGATTTTCAATTTTTTTTCATTTTTCACGTTCTTGCTTCCTTGAAACTGGTTTTCCTTACAATAAAAAGTGTTTCAAATTTGTTGTTCACCAGGAGTATACTCAAATACAACTTGAGTATCAGCCACAAATTAGTTGAAACCGATCGGCCGATTTTTCAATTTTTTTTTCATTTTCCTCGTTCTTGCTATCTTGAAACTGGTTTTCCTGGGAACGAAAAGTGTTTTAAATCTATTGCTCATCAGGAGGGGACTCGAATACACTCCGAGAATCAGCAACAATATAGTTGGTTTTAATCTGGCCGATTTTCAATTTTTTTTTCATTCTCCTCGTTCTTGCTTCCTTGAAACAGGTTTTCCTTAGAAAAAAAAGTGTTTCATATTTGTTGCTCACCAGGAGTATACTGAAATACAACTTGAGTATCAGCAACAAAATATTTAATACCGATCGGCTGATTTTGAATTTTTTGTTTTCATTTTCCTCGTTCTTGTCATCTTGAAACTGGTTTTGCTGAGAATAAAAAGTGTTTCAAATTTGTTGCTCATCAGGAGGGTACTCAAATACACCCCGAGAATCAGCATCAAAATAGTTGGCCTTGATCGGCCAATTTTTAATATTTTTTTAAATCATCCCTGTTCTTGCTATCTTGAAACCGGTATTTTCTGGAATACGGAATACTATGAATTTGTTGCTCACCAGGAGAGTACTCAAATACACCTTGAGTATCAGCAACAAAATAGTTGAAACCGATCGGTCGATTTTTATTTTTTTTTATTTTTATCGTTCTTGTTATCCTGAAACTGGGAAGGAAGAGAGTTTCAAGGTACTCAAGGTATTTAAGTTCACTCTTGTAAGCAACAAATTTAAAACATCTTTATTTCCATAAAAAACCAGTTTGAAGATAGCAAGATCAGAACAAATTCAAAAAACTATATTTAAAAATGTTTCGCTATATCTAAGGTTTATCAACTAAATAGTAACTAAATCGTCTGTAAAGATCAAAGGAAAAGTATATGATTTATTGAGTTACCTTGCTACCTTAATATCACGATAGCATTATTTGCGATTTCTAGGGATCGGCACGAGCATCGGCAACAAAATCGTTGTTTCGGCAACTAATTAGCAACTATTTAGCTACAAATTGATGTATTTTTTTACAATTCTGCTGGATTCGCTATGCTAGCCTGATAGAGCTAGAGCTACGAACGCTGCTGAATTTACTTAATTTCAGTTCAAAAATACTTTCCATAGATTGAGTTGTTGATATTGTACTTATAGAATAAAAAACGTGTATATGTTTTCTGCCAGAAAAGGGTTGAAAGAATGAATTGAATTGTAGGAAGCCTATTCGTCCACTATGGAGGCTTTTTTCAATGGAACTATCAAACTCTCACAATTCAGAAGTCAAGAAAAACATTAAATATGGTTTAACGTCAGATCAGAAATTACAGGAAAAAAATGAGAGAGAACGAACGGCTTTGCAAAGTTTCACTACGAAGAGGAGTAT